CATGAAACAACAGTGGATGTCTTTCATACTAAACACACAAAGCAAATGTGATCAGAAATTACTGCTTTTAATAAGTGTTTTCATAAGCATAAAAATGTAAGACTGAAAGATGTTGCTTGAGTCCAGCTGGCTGCCCACAGAAGCAACTCTTCTAAGTACTTAGTGCAACACAGCTTTTATAATCTATATGCTTTAGAATATTTGAGACTTTCCAGTCTGAGAAAACAAAACTTCATGATTCCTTCATTGTACTTCTTTTATAATCTTAATACAATCCATGTCTAAATTTTATCTTGATTTGATAACAGACCCTCAATAATGTCTTTCAAAAGCCTCTTTACTGCCATTTCTATTTTTACTGTTGATTTTGTCTTGAGCCTGTTTTGGATTTTATATCTTTAACTGACCACCTCACAATCATTGGAAACTGGGCTACCACATGTCCTCTTTTATAAGCAGTCTTATTTATTTCCTTTTAATTCCTGTATTCTAGTCATGACTACTGTTTTGCTGGAATTTTGTCAATCCTGTAATACTTTATTTCCCAGACTTTACTAGTAATCCTAAATTTCACATTCCACTTTCCAAGCTCTTTGCCTATGAATGTGATAGTGTTTAGTACACAGTCATTTTAGGGTCGTCTTATGTGTCTCTGCATAATGGATTTTGGACTGGGAAGGCTGCAAACAGCTGTAATCTCTTCCCTGACACTCCTGTGTATTCTTTTATTCCATGATACATGACCATATACCTCATACCATCCTTTGCATTAAGTGTTGCAAGGATGTGCGATCCTCTTCCGATCTTACTGTCTGATTTTAGAGTCCAATGACTGGCTTTTCATGCCACTCTCAACTGCAGTAAGCTATTTTGCTATTACTAAGGTAGTCCCTTAAAAAGAATAAATTGAAGTTTATTCAGAAGTTGGGTACCCTGAGTATCTCAGTTGGTCAGAGCATGGTGTGAATAATGCCAAGGTCATGTGTTTTATGCCTGTAAGGGCCATTCAGTTAAGAGCTGAACTTGATCCTTGTGGGTTCCTCAAAATATAAAAAGTCCCTTAACTTAAAATACTCAGCGATTCTAAGCAATATGCTATTTAGAATAAAGACAGTCTTCCCTTGTCATTCCTTCAGCCTTTGGAAACTAGAAGGTATTACCAGAAGTGCTGCTTTTTTTTCTCCTTAATCAAGAGTTCTTTGTTAGCAAGAATCTGCCTAAGTCATACAGTCTGACATAAAAACCAGGCCAGTGTCCTCTTTTTCAGGTCCCATCAAAAACTTTTCATCCTCAGAACTGACAAGTGCCTTACACTTTCTGCCTTATAATGCAATAGGCCTCTATAGTCTAGTAGCTTGTTTATTGCTAGAACTTTTTTTGTTTCCTATATTTATTTTTCCTGATGGTTGGTGTATTCTGTTATCTTTTTTTTCCCTTAATGCACTTTATTATTTCATCTTCTGTTATCTAATGCTGCTATTCTTTTCCTCTTGCTTCTAACAACAAATCTATTCCACAGCAATCAATAAGAAATGGAGCTGGTCTTTGCCTTATTTTCTGGGTCACAATTAGCAGTGGTCTGCCTTCTTTATCCTTCTCATAATAATGTTTCAGCTTTGCAGTGTTGCATCAGCAAAATGAATAATATATGTGCCACAGAGCTGTGTGCTATTAGTCATTCCCCTAAACATTCCATAGGAGCACCCTGGTTTGCTGCTGTGATAGGAAGTTTCTAGTCACTTGTGAATTTTATTCGGTTGCGTATAATATATGCTTATTTTTAATGGGAATAAAGGTTATTTTTTATTATTTGTAGCTTAACTCATCTGTTTGATTTCTTCACAACATCAGGAAATTCAAGGAAGCTGTGTAATGCCTCAGAGATCCAGCCACGCTCTGGAGAAGGCTCACCGTAAATATAGTAATTTCCCAAATGTGAAGCTTTGAGCCTTTTAACCTAGTCCAGCAGTTTCAAACATAGAGAATTAACTAGGCTGGAGAAGACCTTTGAGATCACCCTGTCAACTAGAGCATGGCACTGAGTGCCACGTCCAGTCTTCTTAAACACCTCCAGGGACGGTGACTCCACCACCTCCCTGGGCAACCATTCTAATGCCCAATCACTCCTTCTATGAACAATTATTTCCTAATGCCCAGCCTAAACTTCCCCCGGTTCAGCTTGAGGCTGTGTCCTCTTGCCCTGTCACTGGTTACCTGGGAGAAGAGCCCAAACCTCACCTGGCCACAGCCTCCTTTCAGGTACTGTTCCGACCTAATCAAAATTGCATTACACTTTTTCTTCAACAACAGTGAAATACATCTTGAGCCTTTCTTTAATAATTTTACTATATATATATAGCTATTATTTAACAATAAATCTATTACTTTCAGTTCATTGCTGCCTTCTATGGGAAAATCTGCAAGGTGGGAACATAAGGAATCTCTTTCTCCTTGCTCTGTATTTGCATTTCGACTGTTTAGCTTTCATACCAGTACCCATGGCAGCAGGGACTCCCAGCTTTGTGCCAGGCACAAGACAGGCACAAGAAGGAAACACATGTGGCCTCTGTCCCAGTAAATCCCCACACTGAACTTCCTCATTTTCCCCTGCTCTGGCACATGCATGGACAAAAGGCCTAACCCAGGGTGGACCTTCAGTGGTTCACTACCCAGTGGTGAGCTAAGCTCACTATGGTGCTTGTACAGCAGAAGCACAGGGGCACCAGCACTCTGCAAGGACTTTGAATCAGAAACCAGGGAACATCCCTCTCCACACAGCTCAGTTTGGGCTCACACAAGGAGCAGGATGCAGGCTGGGGCATCCAGTGCAGCAGCACAATGCCACTTTTACACCTACCCCATTCCATCTGTGTCGGCTATTTGTACCTTCTCTGCTACAGGGCCAATTTGGGATGTACCCACCATTTTCCCTGGTTCAAGCAGCAATGATGTCTTGTCAGCAGTGGTTTCAATCCTACAGTTCGGGAACATCAGGTGCAGGTAGGGTGAAATGTAATTGTAATATTAAATAAAAGCACAAGATTGAACAGTTTGTTTTCTACAAGCTGATTTTTTTCTCTTAGTAGTGATTGTTTTAATTTTTTGATATATTAAATAAAAAAGCAGCAGAAGTTTAACTTACAGTTTCAAAATGCAAGTCACATTAACCTTATCATATTCTCACATAGTAGACTCCATCTGCTGTGCAACTCATCATCTTGTGGACATACTCTTAGCAATGTTGTAACAAGCGTAGTGGTTTCATTTGGGCAAAACTTACTGCCAATAAGACTCTTGACCAGTTCACTGTACAGTTCTGGTGGCAGCCACCGCTCTGGCAGATCAATGTTACAGACTTCAATTCGTCCATGCTTTACGTCCATATTTACTTTAACGTCAAGAACAGAATCTTTATAGTTCATGTTAAGACATGTGCTAATGCTGAACTTTGGTGTCTTTCCATACACCCATTCCCAGGTTTGTAGTTCTTTAGTTTTGTTACTAATTCCAGGAAGCAGAGTCTCATCAGTTGGATTTATTAAGGTGATATGGTGATCTATCTGGTGTTGCACAGCATATTCTTTAGCAATGGCATCCAGGAGCATCTCAGAAGTTAAACTGGGATCCTCTTCAAAGAGATTTTTCACCAAGGCAGGCACGCTAGGAGTGGCATTGCTCTTTAGCCCTTTAAAAGGACTTTTTAGCACAGAAGATAAAACAAACTTATCTGCATTACAGAGTAAGGTACAGTGGTGATAAGCACTTGTCCTTCCCAGCTTTGCAGCGGTGCCTGAGATTTTGTATTGCCTGTCTAGCAAGATGTCGTATCTGTCAGTGACATGTACATCTAACTGGGGTCGCAAGGCTTTCAGTGCCTTCACAACGAGCTTCAGGTTTTCCATTCGTTCGTATTTTTTTCTGGTTGTGAAGAAAGTCAAATTGATATTACCTAAGTCATGGTAAACTGTCCCTCCTCCACTTCTTCTCCTGGCTAGTTTTATATTTTTTTGCCTCAATAGCCTGAGGTTGCATTCCTGCCAGGGATTCTGATGTCTCCCTATTACCACAGCAGGGGAATTCCTCCAAAGGAAAAGGATCTGTTGCTTCTCTAAATCCATGTGGTCATGGATCCAATCTTCCACAGCTAGATTTTGGTAAACATCATTAGAAACAGACTGGATAATGAGGGCTCCACCAACTGTGCTCCAGAAGCAAGCTTTTGGAGTCCTGAGGACGCAGGACAGCCAAAGGCAATTTTTTAATGACTGGAGCACCATGTTTCTAATAACTGCACACCGGATGGAAGGAATGCCTGCTCTGCTAACGCTGAATGCTGCAGGAGCGCGGCCGGCTCCTGTGACAGAACCGAAATGCCGGCGGCGGCATGAGACAGTCAGGCTCTTCCCAGAGCAGCAGCGAGCTCCCCGGCACGGCGCTCCTCCGGCGCTGCCGCTCAGACCCCGCGGGAGCCCCACCGGACATCCGCGGGTGTCACAGCAGCTGCTCCTCGCAGTCCCCGCTGCCTGAAAGATCAAAGGAACAAACGGAATGTGTATTTCCCCTGACTCAACCCAGCCTTCCCAATTCGGTTTCACTTCGCGAGGTCCAGCTTTGTTAGGGCTTTTTGCCTTCTTTTCCACGGGGTCCCTCAGCCCCCGACGCCGCGTCTCCGCCCGCACAGCCCCGCTGCGCTACTCACGGTGAGGAGCAGAGCGGTCCCAGCGCCCGGCCCAGCCCCTGCGGGCCCCTCGGAACCTGCGGCCTCGGGAGCGCCTTCCGCTTCCCGGGTGAGAGGTGCCGGGGCGGGCGCTGCGCCGCCGGGGGCCGGGGCGGGCTGAGGGCTGAGGGCTGCGGGCTGAGGGCTGCGAGCGCTGAGGGCTGAGGGCTGCGGGCTGCGGGCTGCGGGCTGCGGGCTGCGGGCTGCGGGCTGAGGGCTGAGGACTGCGGGCTGAGGGCTGCGGGCTGAGGGCTGAGGGCTGCGGGCTGAGGGCTGCGGGCTGCGGGCTGCGGGCTGCGGGCTGCGGGCTGCGGGCTGAGGGCTGCGGGCTGAGGGCTGCGGGCTGCGGGCTGCGAGCGCCGCGTCCCGCCTGTCCCACCGCGGCCGCGGCACTGGCGGGGATGGAGCTGCCGACAGGTCACGGAATCACAGAGCTGGTCGGGTTGGAAGGGACCACAGTGGGACATCTGGTCCAACCTCGGTGTGAAAAATACATATTTTATGATTGGCTTTTCGCAAATATTACAATGAATATTATATGTGTAATGTTAGAAAGTTATGCTGTAATAATTCCCTTAAGTAGTGTGTTAAATATAGTTTTAGGTTCCAACATAATGTTAAAATAGAGACTATGTATGTGGGGGGAATTTTTTTTTTTTTTTTTTTTTTTTTTTTTTTTTAAGGAATGAGATACTCGCTTCGAGGAACACCTAAATCTTCCAAAGGAGAGGCATTTATGGCTTCTTATCAGAAGAAACTAATTCCTTCAGGCCTTGCTCAGACTCGAAGACGCCATGGGGATTAGAGGAAATAGTTGACATACAACAGACAGAGTTCTTGTTTAAAATAGAATGTATGCATAACCATGAAGGATATATGAATATGCAACAGGCTATTGTTTTTAAGGTTATTCCTTTTTTCACAAGTCATGTTTTTTGTGACTTAGTGTCTGAGAGCATCCGGACGTCCGTAATTCTTTGCTTTTTATTGTCTTGTAATTGTCCTAACTCTAAACTTTATTACTCTAATTGTATTACTATTTTTATGACCATTTTATTATTATTATTAAACTTTTAAAATTTTAAAAACCAAGTGATTGGCGTTTTTCACACTCAGAGTCATCCCTGAGCACGTGGCACAGGGTTGTGTCCAGGCGGTTCTTGAATATCTTGAATATCCCCAGGGATATTCAGGATATTCAGTCAGGGAAACTCCACACGCTCTCTGGTCAACCTGTTCCAGTGCTCGGTCACCTGCACAGTAAAGGTCTTCCTCATGTTCAGGTAGAATTTCCTGTACATCAGTTTCTGGCTGTTGCTTCTCATCCTATTGTTTGGCACCTCTAAGAAGAGCCTGACTTCATCCTCTTCACACCTTCGCTTCAGATACTTTTGGGCATTTCCCACAATATTTACAGGGCAACAAGAGTCCAGTGCACAATGCATAAAATGGATGATTTTTCTTGCAAGACCCAGATGTGCAACTCCTCTCTGCAGGGTATTCTGGATGCTAGAAGCTTTTATGAGTTCACAAGAAGACAGATAATGGAAATGCAGAGACTTGTGAAATACACTATGGTGCTCATGAAGATATAGAAGCTAAATGTTGACAGCATAATTCATTAACAAGCTGGAAAGTGATCAAAAACTAGATGTATTGCTGGCAGCACATTGTCTTCAGATTTGCATTTAAACCATTCTTAAAGTCTACCTGACCTTAACTATAATTCTTCATCAAAAGCTATTGTCTGTGCTTAAGCTTACACCGTGGGATGATGTTCAGTGCTAGCTGAAGTTTTTTATCCATAGTAGTATCCCTATGGGCAAATACGTGCTGTATTTCTCTTGTTCACTGATGTGTATTTCTAAAAGTTACATTACATGCCTTTGTCTTCCATTCTGCCTTAAAAGAGCTGTGTGGGTGTAGTAGGGCAAGTAAAAGTACGAAACCATCACAACATGTGTGCTGGTGGTGATAAGTGAGAGAAAGACTCTAAATGGAGCTTGATGTGATGTGTGTGCCAGCACCTTTAATGTTGTACTGTCACATAAAAAAAAAAAAAAAAAAAAAAAAAAGGGGAATTTCTAAAGCAATTTGAAATTGACAGAGCTTTTTGCTGAATTAGACTGGTAATACTTTTTCATTGGAGTGAACTATTCTGTAATGCACAAGGTAAAAAGCATATGGACTTTGTCCATAAGGATGTGCTGGAAATCAATGTTGAAGGCAGTTGACAAAATGCAAACACGAACCTGTGCATTCTAACACTGGTCAGAAGTATGGAAATGCATCTTGTGAGGCAACTGATGTTACTAAAATCCCCCAAAATGTGGGACCACTTGTCTCCTTTTTGGCACTTGATTCTTGAATGTTTGCAGTGTGTCATTTTGCCACGGGGTGTCTCTAAAAACCTACTGTGAGATGTTGCAGTCTGTGTTTTTCTAGTCAAAAACTGTTTTCATAGTTAGAACCATAATTTGCTAAAAAATTTAGAGTGTGCAGAATACTAGGTGGACAGATAAAAATGTCATGGGTCTGTTTCTGATAAGCTGAAGGATGAACTACACATACAACAATAAATGCCTTCCTATTGTTGAAGACAAATCCAGCAAGATAATTAGAAATAGTCTGACAACAAGCAAAAAGTATGAATTTGTAAATTATTTATCTTTTCTGTACTGGACATTTAAAATTTTTTATGTCCCAACTACTATTGTATAAATCACATAGCTGTAAAATACACCAAATATTATTTTCACTTTTGAAAACAATCCTGTATATGAATCTGATTTCTTTTTTGATCAACAGAGCATTGTTTGATATTCAAAAAGCAATGCAACTGCTCTGCAAAACATTAACCAGCATTAAGATATAAAAAAGAATTCACCATATGTCCCTTAGAGGATACCTTAGACATACTAGAACAAAACCAATTAAAATGTAGAACTATTAAAAATGTAGAACCATACTAGAACAAAACCAATTAAATCATTTCACTCCTAAAATGAATTTTCGTTAATAATTTTGTTAAAGTTGTGAAAACATGAGATGTCCTTTTCACATTTTTGTTTTGGAGATAAACATGATAATACAGAGTCTCTGCTTCCACCATGCCAAAATCTGAAAGTAAGATTTACAAGAAATCCAGGATGGGGAAAGGGAAAAGAAAAAGACTTGTTTCTCTAGCTCTGTTTGTGGAAATTAAAATCTTCCAATTTATTTTGTGGCTTTAGGTGGGGATTGTATTTCAGAGGTATTATTCACTCCTAATGTCTGAAAAGGCAAGCTGTATCCGTGAGTGCTTAATCATGGCTGCTTGCCAAAAACCCTGTTAGTCACCCTGCACTGTCTCCAGAATATAAAACCTGTGCTAGTGGCTAGCAGGGAAGAGAGGACATTTTGTCTGGTTTCTCTGACTCTGGGACTACCTAAAGCAGCCTCTTACAAAGGCTGTTTGTATCCTTGCCATGAGCAGGCAATAGGAGTCACGGGGCTCACATGGCCTTCTTAACCTTTTTGCATCACTTTCTTCAAAGGCACCAGTCTGCTTGGCTCTGTCTGTGCTATTCCAAGAAGAAGATATGTGCAGCCAGAGGTACTGTAAATAAGAACTCCTATCTTGGGATATAAGGACACATAAGAAGCAATTTCTCTGAAAGTACTTTGTTGGTGGAATGAAGAAAAACTTAATTAGCCTTGTAATACTCTGATGTTTTAACTTCATGATGTCTGTAAACCAGTAATATGTTAGTCCTGGCATTAAAAATCAGGAGTGAGTTCAGACTGGAGTTTATCATATGAGTGAAGCTTATGTTTGACACTGTCAAGGAACAAGTATAGTGCAAAGAATAATATTTATTCTGGATGATACAGCTTGCACATAGGCTTACAAATAGATACATAAATTAGATGGGTTTGGATAGAAGATAAGGTTTAATTAAAGGAAGCTATTTTCACAAGATTAAGTCAGTCTTATCTAACACTTTCTTTGTTCTTGTCAGGCCTGAGAGACTGTGCAGCAATTGCTGGAGTTTTCATCTGGGAAAGTGTCTCCTTGGATATTAGTTTCTGGAAGGGATGAACCTAATTAGAGTAGAGGTGTTCAGCTGAGCTCCTGGAGTTCACTGTCAGTCCCGCCTGATCAGCTGTGGCAGTTTCAGAGTACCCATCTCTCTCCTGGGGCTGGACTGACAAGACTTGGCTGCTTGGCTTTGTCTCTGAAATCCTGTGACCTGTAAGCATTGCTCATGCTGCCTTTCCCTGTCTTTTGCTGAGGCTTTTGCATTAACCACAGGCAAGGCCTATGTCCTATGTGTGGGCCAGGGAGGTTTGGGTTAAAGGTGCTTTAAAGGAATTCTTTAAGATAATTTCACTCAAAACAACAATGGATGGTGGTATTGCATGTGTCTGAGTGTGCCAATTTATGATCCATCCTCTTGTTTTCATCCCCAAATAACTACGAAGAATTGAACTATTATTTGAGGAAGTAATCTTTTTATCTGTCAAGGTGTGGAGAGTGTTGTGTCACTTGAGGAGAAGCTTGGCTTAACTCACTCCCCCAACAGAAAAGCTCTTCAAGAAGATGTAGCAGCAAGTGGTCACTCAGTATTCATTTGTACTTAAAATCAGAAATAAATATGAGCACCTTTCCTTTACTTTAGTAACGTTTATTGAGAAACTGTACTCCACATCATAAACCTGATACAGAAAGTTGAATTTTCATAGATAAGAGTTATTAAAAAACCTCACAAGATGAAACCAAGTAGAGAAATAATTAAAATTTCTGTGAAAGCAGTGGTCATAAATATTTATATCAGCATTAATGGGAAAAGGGGTTTACTGATAATTTTGTACCAGATTTTACAATCCATCTTTTAAAAAATTATTTTTAGGAATATTTCTAACCTCTCATTTTGTTTTGCCTATAGAATTTCAGTCATGTACACCTGTAGGGACAACAGATATTATGATAATCTTGGAAAGCAAGAGTAAAGAAAATAAAAGTGCAGAGATGGCATGCTTGCTAGAAAGCTATTTAGGTAAGCTGTTGTGCTGGTACTGAGCCAGAAGTCAGTATGTCCATCACAGTTGCTTGGCTTCTGTCCTACAGAACTCCTGCCTCAAGGAAATCAGAGTCATAGAATAGTTTGTGTTGGAAGGGACCTTAAAGACCACCTAGTTCCAACTCCCTTTTCATGCACAGGGACACCTTCACTAGACCAGGTTGTTCAGAGCTCCATCCAGTCTAATGTTGAGCATCTCCAGATGTGGGGACTCCACAGCCTTTTTCGCCAATCTCTTCCAGTGCCTCATCACCCTCCAAAGAAGAGAATTCTTCTTGAAAATATACAACTCCTCCCTATAATCTAATTTAAACCTTCCCTCCTTCAGCTTAAGGTCCTATCCTTGTCCTATCACTACATTCCCATGTGGAAAGTCCCTCTCCAGCCTTCTTGTAAGCTCCGCTTAGGTACTGGAGTCTCCCCGGAGCCTCCAGGCTGAGCAGCCCCAGCTCTCTCAGCCTGTCTTCATAGGAGAGGTGCTCCAGCCCTCTGATCAGCTTAGTGCCCCAACAGAACAGTGTCTTCTTGAACAGCTGTGAGCTGGATGCAGCACTCCAGGTGGGGTCTCATGAGGGCAGAGCAGAGAGGGAGGGTCCCCTCTTTTCCCCTGCTGGCCGTGCCTCTTACTGCGGCCCAGGGTGTGGTTGGCTGCCGGGTCTGCAAGGCCACGTTGCCAGCTCATGTTGAACTTCTCGTCCACCAGCACCCCCAAGTCCTTCTCCCCAGGGCTGCTCTCCATCCACTCTGCTCCCAGCTTGTGTCCACTGACAGATGTTCAACAACACCAGCCCAATATCAACCCCTGAGGAGCACCACTGTTCTCCACCTGGACATTGGGTCATTGGCCAGTTTGAGTGCAACCATCCATCTAGTTATTTATCCACAGAATGGTCCATCTGTGAAGTCCATGTCTCTCCTGATTAGAGACAAGGGCGTTGTGCAGGACAGTGTCAAATGCCTTGCAGAAGCACAGGTAGGTGATTGCAGTTGCTTTTTCCTCATCACTTACTTTACCCCACTCCTGTAACCCCCTTGTAGAAGGCCACCAAAACTGTCAGGCATGATTTACCATGGTGAAATCGTGTTGACTGCAACTAATTACCTCATTATTTCCCATGTGCTGTAGGATAGTTTCCAGGGGGGTCTGCTCCATGATGTTGACAGGTACTGAGGCAAGAGTTACTGGCCTATATTTCCCTGGGTCTTCCATATTTCTTTCCAAATCAGTGGTGAAATATGTCACAACAGTAAATTCTTACCACTATACGGCAAGTGTAATATAAGTATATATTTTAGGATATATAAATATTATCATGTTTTCCAAAAAGTGCTCTTTTACTAGTTGTGAGTGAGCAAATACTCACAAGTGTGTGTAAATTCTGTGTGTAAATTTGAGTCTTCAATGCTCAGTGAGGTACTGAAGGTGCCTGTTGCTTGATTGCTCTGATCTGTTCGCTTCCCTAGGACTAGGGAAATGCATATAACTGCAGAACTTGAGAGTGCCTCTTTCAGTGAGAACAGTGTATTTGGATGGGATTCACCTAATCTACATGATATGTCAATAGTGATGATGACTGTAATAGATATGTAGACTGTCTTTATCATCAGAGGCACTCCTAGGACATGATTAATTTTAGTATGAATGCCAAAATCAATTGTAGGAATCAATTTCTAGAAATTAATCTTTGTAGTGACTCAAAATTACATTAGTTTACTATTAAACAAATGGGATTTGGTGTGCAATTTTGAATTTAAGAATTGTGGTTTATCTTCAGAATCTGCTTTAGGCTCTTAAATGACTTTCTGGATTTCAACAATACTTACTTGTGCATTACTTTATTTCCATTGCAAAAATTCACCTTTCATGGACCTTAAACATACATGGTGGCCTACTTTCTATCATATTTAAAAATTCATTAGATATTCCAGTACAAATCTACCCTTGGTTCTGAACAGATATATTTCAATTTAATTAACATTTAGCTTTTATGTCCCTTTCTTTCTTGTTAGATACATATTAGAAGGACATTCAGGCATATTTGCAATATAACAAAAAAGAGAAAATACAGACATTCAGAAGTTACTTTAAAGTATTATATGGATATTTATTTTGATTAGGTATCTGCTTCATCTTCATTTTGAAGGGTATATTTATCCATTTTACATTGAATTATCACTAATTACAAAAGTTTTATTTCAGTGCATGCATTCTCTCATTTATGCTAATGCAGCTTATGTTACAAAGAGAATATGAAATAAAGCAAGGGAATCACCTTCAAGGCTTGATGCCTTTATTTAGTCACTGAAAAAGGACAGAGACTGCCATAAATGTGAGACTGAGGATTTGTTAAAGGTATTAGGAAACACGTCTTAAGTCCTAAGTAAATCTCTACTTGTGGCAGCATTAAAAAAAAAAAATCATCCATCCAGGTGAGCTTGGGAAGTCCTAAGCTTTGGAAGAGGAGGAATATATTTTTTAGAATATATCTCATGTTAAACTACTAAAGGTATAACTACCAGGAAGAAAAACTAGCTGATTGTAAACAGAAGGATGCATAAAATAGGAATGAGCCAATAATAAATGTTTTCAAACCAGATATAATAAGAAAGTGTTTCAAGTTTTGTTTTTCTGCTTTAACTCTATATCACCATATTCTTTAAGGAAGTGGTTTCTGATCCAGAAGTCTTGAAAATATTGAATATGAAGGACTTGAGTCAACATGGAAAATTAATGAATGTCATAGCAGAAATTCAGGGTAACTTCCAAGTTTTAACAGCTGAAAGAGACAAAATTCTCAGTCTTTATGAAAGGGTAAATTTTATTTATATTTGTGATTAATTGAAATAACAAAGTAATGTGAAAGAAAAAGACATACTTTTGGTTTCGTATGAAAGAAAAAAGAAAGAATGCAAAGTATTTGTTTAAAAACATTTTTTAAAAAGTTATGGAAATTCTGTGCTTTGAATCTGTCAGTTCAATACAAGTTTGTAAGTGCTGTCCTGAGTTAAAAATGCTTTCCTGATTCAAAGAATATGTGCACAAATGATTACTTCATCTTCGATATTACACAGTTTCTGGGATGCTCTACATTACCAGCCACAGGACCCAGTAATACATTGATTATCTAGTCTATGTTTCTGTTATTCAACCGTTTTAAAAACAGGCATGGAAGGAACTTTCCCAGCTTTGCCAGGAAGCTATAAAATGCCCCAGGACTCCTAAAAGTTATCACTCATGTGACAGCTCAAGCTGTGTTAAGACACATGGAGATAGAAAGGGATACAGCACTGTCGTATTTCTGAAGGATGTCTACAGAACATGATAGCCTCAGGGAGCAGTTACAGGTTTGATTCTGTACCATCCCACCTCAGCCCCACCCCACACGTTATTTAAACATGAAAACTGCCTAGCAGTGTAATTAAAGTTGCTAAGGATTTCTCTTCTGGTCCTGAGAATTAATTGATTTACAAGTCTGTGGTGAGTTGAGACTTGTTTTATATGTGCTTTTGTTGTTGGGTTATTTGATACAGATTTCCCAAGAGAGTGTGTTTAATGAAAAGGCTCATTTGGAGCAGAGAATTGAAGAGCTTTAAACTACTATTCACGATGTAAGGGGAAATAATTATTTATGGAATTGTAAATATAGTACAGGTGATGTTCCTGGTTAATCCTGCAGCACCAGCCAGACTGCTATCAGGAAACAACAGGCCATGAATGAGCCATGAATGTTATTTACCAAGACTCTTTCCCCTCTACTCTGCTCTGGTAAGGCACCACCTGGAGAACTGTGTCCAGCTCTGAGGTCTCCACGTTAATAGTCACATGGACCTGTTGGAGGCCATGAAAATGATCAGAGTGGGCTGGAGCACCTCTCATACAAAGACAGGCTGAGAGAGTTGGGGTTGATCAGCCTGGAGAAGGGAAGACTTCAGGGGCATGTTTTGGCACCTTCCTGTACCTAGAGGGGACCAGCAAGAGAGCTGAGGAGGGAGTTTTCACAAGAACATGTTGTGACAGGGCGAGAGGGAATGGTTTTAAACTGGAAGACTACAGGTTTAGATTAGATACAAATTAGAAATTTGTGACTGTGAGGGTGGTGAAGTCCCGGAACAGGTTGCCTAGAGAAGTTGTGGAAGCCCCATCCCTGGAGGTGTTCAAGGCCAGTCTGGATGGAGCACTCAGCAACCTGATGTGATGGACGGTGTCCCTGCCCATTGCAGGAGGTGTGGGACAAAATGGTCTTTAAAGTCTCTTCCAACTAAAACCATTCTGTGATTCTGTGATTTTAAGACTGTACCAAGCTTCGACCGTGTTACCCACAGTGATCTTATATCCAGATGAGAATAGGCTTGTTTCACCTGGAGTAGAAGTGGCTTAAGAGGGACATAAGTCCTACCTGCCAGTAGGTTTGACATCAAGAAGTTATTAACAGGCTTTTTACTCCAGTGCTTGGTGGAAAGATGAGCAAAAATTGGCAGCCATTGAAACTAGAAGAGTTCAGGCTGAATACAAGGAAATACTTGCTTCTCATGAGGGCAGTTGAGTAGTCCTCAGCCTTGGGGATTTTTCAGGACTGGACTGGACAAAGCCCTGAGCGGCCTCACCTCAGAGCTGGTCCTGCTTTGAGCAGGGGTTTGGACTAGAGACCTGGAGTCTATTCAAATGTGGATTACTTTATGACTGTGTATTAACTAAGACCCGATGCCTCAAATCTAAATGTAATTGCACTGTTCTGGCAAGTCATATTTCATATGGTTTAAGTTACTTGTGTGTGCAACTGTTTGCTAATCAATGGCACAAAAATAGAAAATGGAAATCTTAATATAATGAATATAAATCGTAAATTTACTTACAATCTTGGTTGATTTTTAAATAAATAAATATTGATTTCTGCTGTATATCTTTCTTCTAGATCTTGTGGTTATAAATTCTGGTTTATCTTCTTTTTTTGCCTCAGCCTTCTAAAATCCTGCTAAGCTTATAAATATAATACCACAGTATGGAGTGCATCTGATATGAAGAATACACTGTAGGCTGAAATAGCTCAGAGTAGAAAATTAATTTTAATCACACACCTACATTTGACATGTAGTGAGTATTGGGAGCCCTGTTTTACATACATCATCTTATTTCTTCAGTTCTTTTGGTACCCTTTGAGGGTGATACATCAACATGAAATTTATGGCACTAGTATTGAAGAAGCTACTGTGTACCAGAAGCTTACTGACTTGATCTTTAGAAGCCTGACTTTGGTTATAGTAACATAGAAATTAGTACTGAAAATTTTCGTAAAGGAGGAGAGGGATGGGGTAAGGATTTTTGTGTTTTAAAAGATGTGTTTCAAATAATTTAGAAAGGACAGTCCTTTGAATGTTAAGTGTAAGTATTTTAATAAAAAGATAGAGGTTTCTTTAGACTGAGGATTTCAAACCAGCTTTGCTGGAGTCTGTGGAACAGGTTTTGGATCTGTTATTTGTTTTAGCTACAGACCTGAAGGCCTCATGGTGGTAACTTGGTTACATAGTGCTTTATGCAAGCATTTTACAGTGATTTCTCTACCTAGTTATTGGCATAGGCATGTAACTTAATAGAGGCCGAAAGCCATTATTTGTCATATTGTGTCCCGAACCATGATTTCTCCCTATTCATACACTCATAATAATGTTTTCTTCTATGCTATTTTGTGCTGAAAACTTTTAATGTTGATCAATGACAAACATTTTTGTCCTTGGGCGTAATTACCAACCAAAATTTTATATGAATAAATGAAAATATTCCCAGAGATCTAAAAAATGGGAAATTGATTTACCTTCAAAAGAAGTGAAAGTCACATTTCAGGTCTTTGCCAACTATCTTCAGTAAACGGAGTCAGGCCTTGAGTAAATGAGATATTTGGACATTTCTTCTTCAGCAAAAGATTTGTGCTAGAAACAGAGTAAAAATTGAAATAAATTCTATAAATCAGCTCTTTTTCCCCCTCAGCTGTTAATGTTTGATTATATTTATAGTTAGATAGTGAACAGTTAGAACAGATGTCTAAAGTGGCACTGATGAAAGACACCATTGATTCTTTGGAAACTGAGATGAAAAGATTGACAAGAAAAGTACTGGATTCTGAAACTGAGTGAGTTGATAGGAAGCTGAATATGCTTCTCTTAAGTAAGTAAAATCATGTAATTGCATTAATTTGACTGGTAACATCAGCCTGTGTGTTGCCAAAGCAGGCCCCCGGCTGGGTAAGGTTTAGCATTGACTCCATGACTCTCAGAAGGCTGATCAATCTCTTTATTAGTTTATTCTTAATTAGAAACCCATTGCTTTTATAGACAGTTACAATCCACCTGGACCTAACTGGTCCTCCAATCTAAACACCATCACCACTGCTCATTTAAGAAACCACCCTTTGGTAAGCAAATCTCTGTAACACATTCCACATGTTCACTACAACAGGTGCAGCAAGTGAAGATAAGAATTGTTTCTGATTCTTTTCTCTGATCTTCTCACAGCCTTTCCCAGAAAGGCCTGGGAAAGTTGTGTGCCTCTCTCTGAAGCCAAAGAGCTGCTGCCACACCTATGTTCACTGGTTTTTGTAACTGTTATATGGGTCAGAGGGAAAGGAATTTATGAAATCTGCTTATGAGCCATCCTTCATTTTGGAATTAAATTGTTTTCTTCATTGCCTATTTATATGTAAATGTTCTTGTCTTATTGATATGATGATATGGTGGAAACCATCTTCAGTGAAAAAATAAAATTCACTTAATTTAGAGTTAGGAGCTTTCTGTTAGAAACTACAGGGATTGATGGGTTTTGGTAAATATTATATGAATAATTTTATTTTAATTTAATTTTTTTTTTTTAAATGAAAACGGGCAAATGCATAAACTAGTGACTGTCATGTCATTAGTTTTAAAGATCCATTTCTTACTCTTGGAGCCTTTTCATGAGAGGAAGTAAAACTGAATCTTTATGTAGGGCTTATGGTCTGCTGCTCAACTGGAGTTTCCAATCATGTTCAGAAGCATAGTGGGACTAGACTAGATCAAAGCCTTTAGGGAATAAAGCATATGTCAGTGAGTGCTGCTTTATAATAAATTCTCAGATTTATGAACACTGTTCAATTGTTGAAAACTAGATGCTGTCACTAAAACATCTTTTTCTTTACACCCCCAAACCTAACTGATGATTCTTTTCAGTTTCCTGAAAAGTGTGAGAATCATTAATATTACTACATTTTAACAGATAACTTGGTTATAAGTTGAAGCAGGTCAAGCATTCCAATGGATGTCCCAGGTGGTGATTTTTTATTTTAATTATTTTTGTGACTTCCTTATGATCACCTGTTGCAAAGAATTCTCTTACTTTTCTGTAATCCTTTATGCAATTATTCAGAATTTAATACACTGAGATTCACGATAACATTAATAAAATATCCCAAACAGTCTAAAATAGATAGAAAAACTCTCAATTTTTCCTATCTTTTGCAATTCTAGTGACATTTATAAAAGAAAAAATAGTATATCAATGTCTGAATTCTCCTGTTTAATGCTTCTGCTTTTCCAGTTTATTGAATGAAAAGACAGAACTGAGTCTTTCATAGATTCAGTGAAGCCTTGTGAAGAAAAAACTTGAAATGCAACTTATAAGAAAATTGTGAATTTAGATTTAAAAACTGGTGAATGACAGATTCAATTTTTATAATAAAATTCAATAGGCTTATTGTCATATTCTGCAGTCATCTTTTTTTAATGGGTTGAAAGAAAAGGCATTGAATGCAAATAAATAAATAAATACACTTCTGAAAGTTTTAACATTCTGAATGCAGAACTCTTGGTTTTTTTGTTTATTATTGAAAGGTTTTTGCATTTTAAAATTATGTGACAGATGTCTGGCAAGGGTAAGTTTCAGTGACAACACATACTGTATTTATGTTTCTTCAAGAGCTGCTTTTGGATAGAAGATACTTGAAATAGTGTGTCATAATACAGGCTTACATTATCTACTGTGTTTTTTATCTCTGTGCAGTTCCTGGTGAAAGTAGTTAAAATATTTCAAGTGTCATCTCATGCACACACGATACTCCTGCACCAATATGTTTTCCAGGCAGCTAGAAATTTAGCTTAATACCTGTAGGAGTTCATCACTTCTGTGGTGATGTGGTTTTTCTTCTTTTTCTTCAGCTTCTTGCCTTCATTTAGGTTTTCTGGTACTTGATCTGCAAACTTGCTCTACTGCTCACTTGACTTTCTCTTCCTCTAGAAGTGCTACTCAGTTTTAAAGGAGTAAATTAACTGTACCTGATGTCAGATATATAGAACTTTTAAGTCATTAAGGGTCCCTTTTAAGTGAAGAAAAGTCTTCCAGGAGATTTATTCCACCCAAGTTTTTTAAGTGATGAATTTTATCTTTCTCCATTATAGAGATAGTATAGCTATGGCTTTAGATCAGGTGTTTAATTCTTCATTGAGACCACTTCCATTCTGAATAACTTTTCTCCCAAACATACCATTTTTTCCTCTTAAGCGCCCTCCTAGAAAAGCTGAGGTTGGTAGTGGCTTTGACTGCCAAAAGTTCATCAGGGAATCACTTCTTCACCTCTTCTTGGAATCACACTTTATAAGGATGATATCAGCTGGTAGAAAATGCAGCTTCCTGTTGCTCCCAGCTACTTTTGAAAGCTTCACAGTTTTCTTTGCAATACCTGGATGCTTGTAGAAGCCGTTGAAAACAAAATGTCTCATAGGATTAAGTACTTTTTGTGGGATTGCCTCTAGAATATGTATTAGTTCCTCCAGGCTCTTCCATTAGTTGAGGTGATACTCCAAGTATTTAAAGTATTATCATTTCTTTCCTTGAGTTTACTGGAAAATTTCCAGAACACCTTTCTCAGGACCTCACAGCCTTTTTGCAACAGGAATGAGGGTTTCTCCATAGAGCCTTCCCCACACTACACCTTCCCCCAGTTTTTGCAACTGAGTTCTCCTAGTAATTTTTGCACAGAAGAAGTTTCTGAACTGTGCAGCTCAAGACAGCCTTTCTGCGGTTCTTTTTCCTTCTTCTGTTCACTTTCTCAAGAAATAATTCTCAGAAGTTCTATGTCTGTTCTCTTAATACTTGTGGCTTTATTTCTCCTGATTGGGAGATAAGCATTTGATTAAATAGAATGTAAGCAATTCTGTAATAATTAAATTACTTAATTTTTTATCTGTCTTCTTCTTTTAAAAATAGAGGCTTTTAAAAAACTGTAATGTAATAGAGATGGAACTGATTGAGCTCTGCTTGTTAAATGGGACAATCTAGATGCTAAATAAACCATCTGTTTTTTTCTTTTTAACGGCTACATTCTTTTACAGATATTTTTCTTCTTTTTAAGAAGATTTAGCATTATTTAGAAGTAAAAAAAAAATTCTTAGAAATTAAAAATTTGGTTTATAAAAATAGACATAATTTACATTTCACATAGCCTTTAAAAATGAGTTAATAAAGCTGTAGACCTTAGATTTTTTTTTTTTTTTTAAGGTACAAGCAGTATACTTAAACCTTATGGAAAAAACCTTTCTTCATAGGTACTATATAAAGAGCTAGCAAAGTACCAAACTGAGTTTGATGATATGAAGTTGAACGCACAGGATTAAAACTGAGGTATTTTCAGGCTGAAGCATGTGCTGAAGTCTAAAGTGAGTATACAGATTAAAACTGTTGGTTTTTAACTAAAAGTTAAATTTTTTAAATCTCCATAGAAGAATTTGCTTCCTAACCAAAACTCATTTGCATTCCCTTAATTTGGTTTTAGTAGTTTGGACACATTTTCATGGCTGTTTTTGCAGTACAAAATTAATGTACAATATTTCATTGTGGTTTTACATATATATACGTGTATATATATATATATGTATATACACACACACGTGTATGTTTATTAACTTAAAAAGTCAGGGAATAATACAGAGACCTGGAACTCTTTTCTCTTTATTATTTTATGGGATTAAAATAAAAAGAAATATTACTGCGCTATATTGCTGTACTTTGTCTAATGTTAACCTAGCCATTCTGAACAGATGTCTATTGATCATTAAAATGTACTCATCTTGGACAAAACTCTGATTCTTGAGAAGTCTCTCAATGTTTTCACTAAATGGCAGAATTTTCAGTGGAAAGAGTATATCCAATACCGTATGTGTAGATCTATAATTATGCCTATTTTTTGGAGCTTACTGTAAATTATTAAATAAATAAGCTTTATGTGTTAGGAGGGAGAACTGTGAGCTCTTGGAAAATTATCACAAAGCCTGTGAACAAGGAAGTTGGGAAGCAAAATGCCATGAAGGAGAAACAGGCTTTTCCTGTTAGACGGGCACTGATCAGTGCAGTCTGAGAGCCACAGTTGGAAAGGAAAAATAGAGTCCCTTGAAACACAGATGGAGCAATTGAGTTGAAATCATTCTTTCCATAGTTCACCCTTGAAATGGTCTTGTAATATTTTAAAATTATGTATAATGCCACTTCTATTTCAGGGAGATTTTCCACCATGAACTGCATGCTTTTTATTTTATATAATAATATTATCAGAATTCCACTAGTCACACTTGGGAAAAAATATTTTTAAAAAAATCAAGGAAAACAAAAAAATTAAATGCTCTTGTGATTTGGAATCATTGAAGGCATTAAGTCATACACAACTCCACAGCATACCTGAATCATATCCTGTCATATTCCTGTCCCTGCTCTTCTTGCTTTGAGCTTCTTAGTCTTCTTTCCGCTGTTTCAGATGTCCCATAGAGCCTCTTCCCACTTGAAAATCTGAAGAACTTGAAGAAAAATGAATAGTGTGGTTTTAGAAATATGTTGTGAGCATATAAACATGGTTTGGGGGATCTCTAATATTTGTTGCAGATCATCTCTGCTTCTTGAACATCACATAAGCTGCTGAGTACTACTCAAGAACATTAGATACTCTAGAGGAATCAAACTTGCTGTTTAGAAAGTGAATGAGAACACAGCAATAACAAAACAGCACAGGAGGGTGGTGTGGCAGATTGTGGCATTTCTTGAAGAGACAATAAAACAGGTACATGGTTCTAATTTGTCCAACAAACCTGAAACTAGCAGACATTTCATCCTTCTAATTCCTTCCCACATGTCTGCTATTAAGTATAGGAATGAACAGGCCTCTTCATGAACATTATGTCAGCATATTGGGTCAGAATTCCAAATGTCATATTCCAGTTCATACAGTTATATGCAAGGCACATATCTAAATCACAGAAGTTTGTATTCAAAAATCCTAATGTGCTCAGCAGATCTGTGTTCCTTTTTTTTTTTTTTTTTTTTTTTTTTGGTGAGACAGAGCTAGAATTAATGTGATATGCTCCCATAAAATAATCTCTTTGGATGTCATTTCTAGTAAATCCTTCAAGCAAATCACAGTGCCTTACCTCTCACTTTTCTCTGTTAACCTTCCACACTCATTCTGCCACCCACTGAAAGTTAAGGAGCTGAAAGTGGCTGACCAGGAATATCCCTGGGCAAAGTACAGGCATTTTTCAAAAAGGAAAAACCTAGGTTATGTTAATTTGAAATGTACAAAATTCTTAATGCTTTTAGTAAGACCTGCTTCTGCTGCCTTGTGGACTCCACTTTAACGTGACTCTCATTAGTCAGGCCTGAATTTACAGGTAACAGTGGTATAAATGTGACTGACAGAATCTCAGCATTCACAGATCATCTACACAGAAAACCAAATTTTATTGCTAAAATAAGAGGATCTCATCTGAAAATAAAATGCAGTCCATGGCAGAATTTTCAACCTTATTAACTCTGCAAAAGGAGTAAAATTATAGGAATAGATTTTAAAACACTGGAAGATAAGTTTGCTGTCAGAAGCAAGAACTCCTCTAATTTTTATATACAGGAGTTATTGAAATAAATAATTTTAACGTTTACTGTAGAACAAATTGCTGCAGCCTCTTAAAATTTGCCACAATTATATAGAGATATTTTGTAGGATTTTGGAAGTTATTTTAATTTTTTAGTAGAGTTTTATATTGCACTTCTGTATCATTTAACAACAGAAGCAGCATACAAGTCTTCTGTTTCTGCCTTAAGCAACTCTCTTGTGAAAATGGGCAGAGGGCCTTGAAATATACATTTTGAGAGAGTCTCTGTACTTGAAAACATCACATCTACACCAGAACTTTGCATTAAACCAGATGCAATCAAAGAATGATTAAATTAGCATTTAATTTCCACAGCAGAGAAGGTAGAAAGGGTATGTGAAATATATTAGAAAAATAAGTTTATGTTAATGTTACACTTAAGGGATCCAAATATACTTTAGAATCATGAATGATCATTTTTAAATTTTTTAAATGTTTAATTTGGCATTTCTCAGGAGCTTACTCCTCAAAGGGTATGAGTTCAACACTTTTTGAAAGGGACACTGCCTCACTGCTTTGCAGGGTTTTACTATGAACACTCAAAAGTGAGAGCTAAAAATTACTGTTGTTTTCAAGAAAGATACCTTCTACATCTAGTCACTAGATAAGCAGTATAGCTAGAGAAGATTGTTAGCAATGAATCTTGGTGGGAACTTTGAAATGATTGACTATTTTAGTAAGTATCAATATTTTTAATATTTTCTTAATTCCCCTTAGAAATCAATTTTTGTTGACCTTGATTTTTACAAAAACTACAAAATTAATGTGTGATACATAAATTTTTTAAAGTTCAGTTTGGATAAACTTTGAAATGTTTTCAAACACACGCAGATTATTCAGGTATTTTCAGTGTGATTCTATTACTGACCTATCCATCCTCTGCTCCAGATGAGATAATTTCTTGTTCTTTATAGGCTTCCAGTAGTCTGTAAACCTTTATGTATTTTGGAAGCACAGTGGGTAAAGCTGCTGTTTGCCAGTTGGTTTTGCATTCCAGTCAAATGTGTGTGATGTCTTTTGTAGCCTTGTGAAATCCTCTATGATTCTTTTGATATGGAAGAGTTCCAGCATACGACATTTATCTGAAACTTTTATGAGATCTAATATGGCTAAGCCTCTCTGGATCCTTCTGCTGGCACTGCGGAGACCAGCAACAGTTTTGGAAAAGAAAACTGCAGAAATGCGGATTTGAGAGTTGGAGAAAAGTCAGAAGTTGGGAAATTTTAACTAATTTTTCTGTATCTTTCAAAGAGTAGTCTTTCATTAGCCATGTATAACCTTCAGATAAGTCTCTTGCTTTACACAGTATTCCAGCACAGAATCTGCCTTATTAGATTACAGCATATTTATATGCAGAAGTGGAAACTAAACCTGATTCTGAATAATATTGTTCTTTCACTGTTTCTAATACAGTTTATTTTCCTATGTCTTCTTCTGTCTACATTATTCTTTTTTTCTGAAATACAAATGTAGAATATCAAAACTGTTTTTCTGCAAAGGAACTAGATTTTTGAGTGAGAGTTCATAGAAAATCGAAACTTTCAGAATGAAGAAACCTTTCAGTTTACTTTGGTAAAAGAAAAAAAAAATTTTGTTTTGATAAATTACAAATGCTTTTTTCTTTTTTCTTCTTCTGTTGGCCTATTATCTGAGTTCTTCCAGTGTATTCCTCCTTTGAACAACAAATGGTTATCTTCTGAAATTTCTAAGAAATGTGGTGGAGAGGTGGAGAATTTGTTAAGATATCTCAGTTCATAGTTTCCCATGACCTTTGGCTGAGCATTGTTGTGCTTTATGTAAACTAGGCTTGAGTAAAATACAGATAAAAGTGTTGCAGCACCCCAAACAGACTCAGTTAGTTAGACTATAATGCATACATGAAAAGATGAAGGGAAAACAGCATCCAGTTTATTCTTGATAAATAAACCCCCAGTTTATTCTTGATGCTCCTGTAAGTAAAATAAGTGTAATCTCACTCTGCTGGTGATGCTGGTACTGTTTTGTAGTACCACGTGTTATTTCCTGTGTGCAAACAGTTAATCAATAGCTTCTTGCCTCAACAAAATGTGAAACTTCCTTCCTCTTCATTAATGATTCTGTCTACAGAATCCATTGATCCATATATTTCATAGCATTTTCTCATTTGTATCAAGTATATTTATATTAAGATATATGCATTGGATGATTTTATAAATCTTACAAAGGATTTTGACTGGGAAAGTATAAAACTAACCACTCATTTGCAGTGAAAATTAATTTCGTCATTGATCCCATTGATCCTTTTATATATATATATATATATATATATATATATATTTGAAGATTACCCCAATAGTAAGCTTGATGGACATACACCTGAAACTTTAAAATCTTTGTTTATCTGCAGAGCAAGTGTGAGTCAAACCATTCTGAAACAGAGATGCTGAGAAAACAACTGGGAAATGAAAAAGCATCTATAAAAAACCTGGAATCTTCGCTTGTGTCCAGTTGTGAGAATGAATTTCAGTCACAGAGAGCAAACCAAGAGAAAGTCTCTGAAATTCAGTTTCACAAGGAACAGCTTTCTTTAGTAGAAAACAATCTGTGAGTAAATGACAAAGAGAGTATTGCAGTTTTTCTCATTATTTCCAATGTATTTTAAAACATGTGGTTTTATATCTAGCTGCATTTTCAAATGGCCAGTGTGCCTTTACTACATTAATAGCAGAAGATACCAAAAACCTCTTTGGATTTCTCAGTTAAACCCTAATAGACTCTTCTTTATAGTGTTGTATTTTGCTCCAAAAAATGTTCTTAATCTCATTTGCATGATATAACTGTCCATTTAATTTTGAATAATTGCATGTGGCTAAATGCTTAGAGAATTACAGTTACTATCTAGTTAATTTGTATGGACTTCACAGTGCTGTGCAGAATCAAGAATTTACTCACCTCAGAAACAGAGCAACTCAGAGTCAGAACTGGATATCACCAAAACACAGCTGGGGACTGAGCACTTTGATAGGCAAGTATATGTTTTTGTACTGTGCTTCCTGCAGCTAATTGGGGTGAAATGCAGTATAGTACTGAGACTTAGGCTAATTAGTCAGATAAAAAACAAAATTTGGATTTACACTGCTCTACATGTCCTGTGTGTTCAGAGACTATTAATGTAGCTAAATTTAGTCTAATCAGCTGTTACACATGCTGTCTAAATTAGTTGTGTAGGTTGCCTGTATAGCCAACAGAAAGAGACAGTGAGATTAACTACCCTCTGGAATGGCCTGGTTTAGGATGAGGTGGGTCACTTTCCTGAAGATCCTCATCTCTCTTCACTCATTTGTACTGATGCCTGAATTGATCTATAGTGAAAATCCAGGTGACTAGCTGTTTATACAAGTGCTTTAGAGCCTACTAATTCTCTGTGCCCCCGGAATGATTTTCGCCTGTACCAACCCCTATTTTTCCAGGTGCTACTTGAAGTTCTGTGGGTGGTTCCCAAATGGCAGTACGACAAATACTTGTATTTTTTAATTTTGCAAGAAGAGAGTTTAACAACCTATAGGAACTATTTCACATGATTTGACCACAGCACCAGAGAATGGTCCCTGTCCTGCTTCGTGCATTGATTTATGTAGTCTTGGTGTCTTACAGAGTTTTCTTATCTTTGAAAAAACAATACTTCTCTTTCATGAATGTATTGAGGATAAAATATTACAGTTTTGGGTATTATTTTGAATATGTAAAACAGCGATCTAAAAGAAGCAGAGTGATGTGATTATAGCACAAGTCTGAGAATGAGGTGTGCCATTTAACCAGTAAATTGTTGATATTCTGTTCTCTCATAAGTAAGGATCAAGGGTCTGAAGAGGGCATCTTTGAGAAGATCATCTTCATGGAAAGAAATTAAGCAGCTTCTCAGAGCCAAAGTATTTTTCTGCCACTGGCAAGTGAAAAAGAGAAAATTTGCCATATAAGAAAAATACTATCATTAAAGTCAGTATCACGTTAGTACATAATGGAAGCATCAGGTTTAGTTTTGTTGTTAGTTTGAAGAAGTGGGCATATGCTATCCTTTTTATAACAGTGGATGGACTAGTCATACTTATTTACTGCCTTAGTGCAGGATGAAATAATGCCTGAAATTAGGAGGTGGAAGTGCCAACACTGTCAGACCTTGAATAGGCACAAAAACAGTGATACCAGGAGCTTCATCCATCAGTCTGGCTTTTTCTTTTTCTTTCTTTACCTCCCCATTTGACTGCAGAAGCAATTTGGACTCCTGTGGAAATATCAGGTTTTAATTATTGTCCTCCCCTGGCTGTGATGACCAAGCACAGGAACTGTTGGGCTTTCTGGGCTGCTGTTGCTCGAGCAAGTCCTTTTGTTGTCCCTAGATCCAACTCCCTGAGCCAGTGCTGAATGTGATCATTCCCCAGCAGGCTTTAGTTACCTCTTACGGTGGTCCACTCCACAGGTAAGTCTGTGGTAATGGCTGGGCCACACTGAAACCCAGGGGTTGTTGTAGCCACCCTACCTAGTAGCTTCCCAATCCAACACAGACTAGATTCTCCTTAATGTAAACAACTGACAATTCTACAAATTGAAACCGCAATTCCAGAGAAGTATGTATCTTCAAAACTTTCCAATGGGTTATCCAATCCCACATACTTCCTTCCCATACAGCAAGATTCAGGAGCTATGGATTGATCTAATATCCAGGCCCCATCTCTTGCACTCAAAATAACTGGACTTCCATTTTGCAACTTTCCCATTGGGGATTCCAGCATCTCTTAAATATCCATCAGTTTCAGGGCACTTCAGTAGACTCTAGTCCACTGGCCTTGCCAACTCAAACAGCACAGGAATATCACAAGCAGCACTGTTCTTACTTTTGAATAACCTTAAAATTAGGCTCTTCCTCCCTGGAGATGTTTATAGTTTTTAGTTTTAAACCTGCAGTTACCATGGATATCTTCTTTCAGGGGAAATTGAGACAATGGATACGTAGAAATAAATCTCAGTAAGAGAATAATACAAAGAGATTCACTAATGTGTCTTTCGGAGAAGAATATTATGAAAACTACATTTCCTTTTAAAATAAAATTTAGATGCTGACAGCATGCATAAAAAAAATATTGCCAGTGGAGGGAGGAAGAAGTCTCAGTTCATGACTTGCTTTTGAAATGATTACGTACTTCCAAGTTTAATTTGTTCACTGAGATTATTTCCTTTGGCACTTGACTAATCTTTGCTATCAAAGGCTTCTCTAAGTATTAAAAATTGGTCCCAATAAAATGAGACAGGTTTCCTCGGGTCAGTGAGCTGGTTCTGGTGCCCTTAGGAAGAAAACACAGTTGTGCATGACAGTTATTTTTTAGCTACTGCTAATCCTTGATTGCAAGTACAGGGAGTCTTCATTCCTCTGATAGAACTGTGTCTACTCTTCCTTCATCTGAGTACACTGTAGCTCTTAAATTTGTTGAAAGAAACATTGTGTCATTTGGTACAGTTTCATTTACTTTTAATTACCATAACACTTGTATTTTTGATACTTACAAAGATAAGAGGAAACAATCTGGTAGTCACCACACTGATACTAACAATTATGGTGGTTTTTCTATTTGCATTACTCCCTTTACAGGGTGATAAAATTCCATTCTAAGAAGTAAACTTCTTGCTTAATAACAAATGAAGACTATGCTTCTGCTAGCTAGATTAGAAATTAAATTCCTATCTTGCTTGATGTTCCTTTTCCACCCCGCTGGTTTTGTGGGGGATTTTTTCTTGGCGTTCCGTTGTTTTGGTTTGAATTTTTTTATCCTGGTTGGCCTTATGTGACTTTTGCACATGCCTAGGGTACCATGAGTTTAAAGACAAAAAATGAAGTAAGTGTTCAAAATTTTCAGACTGTTTTAAGCTAAGTTTGTCTTAATTAAATCAATGTAGCTTTTGCATGGCAATGAGCTCCATTTTTCTGTTTGGTTATTTTCCATTTTTGAGAATTCAAGCTATCTAATTAATATGTAATAACTAATATAATTAATAACTTATTTTCCTTGTTATACTTATATTTTTTGCTACATGGAAAGGACTAAGGTTGTTTCATACTTACAGGATCCTGGAATTCTAGAATGGTTTGGGTTGGAAGGGACATTAAAGACCATCTAGTTCTAACCTTCCACTAGACCAGGTTGCTCAATTCCCTTAAACACTGTTTAGTTACTTGTTTATGCTAAATGGTTTGGGATTGTTTGCATAAGAAAAAAAAAAAAGCAATAATTACTGAAACATTAGCAGTCTGTGCTACATTTTAAAAGCTTCAATTGAAAGAATTTATCAGGTTTGTGTACTGTAGTGGTACAGGGATGAATGAAATAGCCTATTAGAAAAGGCTGTCCTAAAACAGAGCAGAGATCTGAACCTGGAAATGACTGCTTTGTATAAGTGATTTACATTTGATCTGCATATTTGCTTTAATGTCCACAGTACTAAAGTTCTTGATAAATTTTATCAAGAACTTAGAGTGTCAATCAAGAATGAGATGGAATAGTAGAAATATATTAAGTATCTATGAATGATGATTTCCCTCTCAGCTAACTCTAGAAAGATTTAGAAAATTCATTGAGACCACAAAAAAATAAAAACAAATGTAGAATATTGCCTGAGAGTAAAAGCAAGAATAATAATGCAAATATTTGGGTGTAATAATCATCAGCATAACAGAATTAAGACTTTAAAAATAGATATTTGGGGAATTGATGAAATATGATCTAGGTGTAAGTTCCTGTTAAGTAGTGTACTACTATTCCAGGAGGGTCCCCCTGGAGAGGAAGTCTCATTTTTCAGACACTGTAAGAGAAGTCACCAGGGATTGAAAAAGGTACTGTAGAAACAGCTGCTAGAAACTGAAGAGGCTTTTTCCACAGCTAATTTTTGACTCTGCAGTATACATGAAGTACAAAGAGATAGTAGTGTTGGAATCACAATTAATGCCCTTCCTTCTCTCCAGCTGCTATTTCAGCAGACAGTCTGTAATGGGAGATGAGGCAGTCACCTTTTCATTCTGTGGAGGATGTGATATCAGAAGTAAATTGGACAGTGACTTTTTCTTATTATTCCGTCTTTCTCTGTGTATTTATTGTACCAGAGTCCTTGCTCCAGTAAAGTGAAAAGGATGTGCCCTGCACATCCTTTGTGTTGCAGAACTGGTGGGAAAGACCTTTTCTGTCTGGTTTTCTTAAGTGATAGGAGTCCAAAGCTTGCCTTACACATCAAATGTGCTATGACATTTTTATACAATAAAATCAAATCTGTCAAATGCTTTGGACTGACTGTTAAAGAGTCTAGGAAGTTTCCTCAAAGTGTTTTCAGAATCCACACCTAGATTCATCCTTTTTGCTATCTTCATAAAAAAATTAATTAGGTCTCTGGTTTATTTTTGCAAGCAAAGACATGTTGGTCACAATAATGGGTTAAGCATAAACTTGCACATGTATTCCTTTATGGGAATTTTTTTTGTGATAAGCTGACTGCTCAAAATTAACATACATGTCTGAGTAATAATTAAAGACAGCATAACCCATATGAATGCTCCTAATACTGAAATAAAGCAACTGTGTTGCTTTTTTAGGAACAGGTGGCTTTAAAAAAACTCTAAAACAGTTTAATGAATAATATTTTTTAAAAGTTAAAGTATAGATATATATGTGCAACATAAATTTTAGGATTATTTTCCTAAAGAGTAACATTTTTTTCAGTACAGGTGAACTGATTTTAATTTTGAGGTCCTGGTTCTTCATTCTTTATTTGGCACACAGCCACAGAAATCATATCAGCAATCACCAGTGTTAATGGGACTGCTTGCAAGTAATAAATAAAGACTGTAGGAGCAGACACAATTATATTAACCATTGCCACATTATGCAGTTATTAAATGGCATATTGTACACTTTTCCCAGATGAGAGAAGATGATAATTTCATTATCCTGGAAGATGAGAAAGAGATTTGTTGTTTTGCAATCATGCTGTTGTATTGATTTTTTTTTCCTAGAAGATGATCACAAACCAGTTTGAGATATGTGATCTTAGTCTATAAAACTAATACCCTATCATCTAGAAGATGAGAAGCAGATATTAGATAAATTTAGTACAGATAAAAGGAGCTCTTTTTGGGAGTGGATATGCTGTGCAGAGGCCCATGTCCTAAGAAGTAATTCTTTAGTTGCAATAATGATTGCATAATGATGCTTTTCCATGTAACATAATAAAAAAAGTCAGTAAAGATGGGCTAGGTACTCACCTAAAAAGTAAAATCAGAAGATTCTTAAGCAATTTGGACTTAAAAACTCTTCTTTTATGCAGAGAGGAATAAAGGAATATGAGATATAAACATCAATATATAATAAACCTGTTTTGGTTTTTTTTTTAATACTCTGGTATAGTAATAACCTTTTTATTAGGGTTAGCCTTTCTTTAAAAAAATGTTTTGGAAATGAAAACTTTAATTTTATTTTTTTTTTTGCAGGAAAATTGCAAGGGTATTATAATATCATGGATAGAGCCAAAGGAACTTTTGTCATTGGTGATGACATACAGACTTCAACAGACTTCTGACAGCAATTAATTGCTGCATAATTTTTAATGGCTAAGGAAAAAAAACATTCAAGTGAGTATATTCAGAGAGCAGGATCACTGTAGTGGCAATACCCCTGTGTCTGATCTACATCAGAAACTGAAAGAAAGAAAAAAATGAAAAAAATAATTGAATTTGCTGAAGTTTTCAAACAATATGTTTAAATTTGCTTGCTGGCAATGTCTGTAGTAATAGCCTGAGAGGACTGGAACAGTGTTTGTTGGTTGGGAATTGTATGTACTGCCCCAACAGTATATTCTAGAAACCTTCAGACCATGACTGAATATTAAAGGCCAATAAGCTCAGAGCTTTTACAGTTCTTTACTTTTGGTTGCAAACACTCTAATCTATAATACATCTTAATTTTTTCAATATCCAGGAATTACTGTTGTATATCCCAGCCTGAAATGTGTTACACACTTTGTGATTGTATCTATTTCCTCATGATGTGGGTTACTTGTGATTTTCTTGTCATTGCTTAGTTACAATATTTTGATTGGAAAGAGACCTAAAAAATTTATTTATCTGTTGTTTGCATTTGTGACACTTATTTGCAACTATGAACAATGCTATACTTGATTTTTATACATATATTTAAATTGCCTCTTACCACAATATTTTTACACAGGCAAACTTGAAAATACAATTTGTGGTTTTATAAAAAATAAGAGTAGTTTAAACTCAGCTATACTGTTATGACCTAAAATCATGTGGTTTGCATGACAAAGAAACCTACAGTATTTGTAAACCTAAAGTATTCATGATAATTTTTAGCCACTGGTAATAGAGTTATTTCTCACTGTTTGCTTACCTGTGGTAATGGAAACTGTCCCCACTACTCAGAAGAAGATATTTCACTTGAGCACAACTGGTTTACAGGGTTTGTAGAAGAAAAAATTCAGTATACCTCTGGCGTCATCCTCCTTATTTTCTTTTCTGCATACTAGAAGAAGCAGGATGTAGGGATACAGAGTGGTATCTCCATTACAGTATGACATCTCTTGTTGACCCCTTGTTGACCACTGCCATCATTCCATCTTTTCTTTTTCTTCTTTTCATTCACTAATAGAGCTTGAATTTTAGCAACATGTAATCAGAATTAAGATTCTGCTGTCAGTGTTAAAGCAAATGGTTTTAGTCTTTGAGCAGAAAAAATGTTCATGGTGTGAAGTAGTGTTTGGTAGTACTACAACTGAATTTTTTGTTCTATCCCTTCTACCCCCTTTCTTCTCAGACCAACTAATCCTGTCGGTGTCAGTGTAAGCAGCGGGGTATTAGCAACATGGCTATCAGCATCAGGTATAGTTTAGGAGTTCTGTTACTCAGTTGCTTTTCTGTATTTATTTAATCTTCGATGTTGGCAGTTACAATGATACAGTAGAATGCATAAGAACATAGTATATATTCCGCATTTAACTAGTTAATTTGCATTAGCTTCTCCTTCCTCATCATTTTGGGATGAATAGCCCTGCAACAAGAAATGCAAATTGATTTACTGATACAGGAGGGTCTGTAAAAGATGTGTGATCTTTTATTAAAAAAAGTAAAAGAGGCTTTTTAATGCATGTTGCACTCTTAATGATCTTTCCTCTGATCCACTGAACTTTCATGCTAATTCCCAGCAGAGGGAGTAAGTGAAATGAAGATGAATGAATCATACATAGCTTTGTGGTATTAACATACTCTGTTATCTGAACACATGGAAAGTTATTTCAGTTAGTTTTACATTTTTGACACTTTCCAAACAGAAGAAAAATAATTTATAAGATGGATAAAATTTTAATGTGACTCCACTTGGATTGAATATATCAAAAATGCAACCTTATTTCATTACAAGGATCAGATTTTTTATTAATAAACTTTGAAAAAACAATATTGGTTTGTAATTAAAACATTATGTCTAAAGATATGGCCTGAAATTATGTTCCCTTCCAATGGATTTTTTTTTAATCTGACTCTCTAATATACTGTAATTTGATTTTTATTAAAATCCATGAAGCAGTTTAATAATTTATTTCAGCAAATGCAAAATTCTAAGCTTAGTTTTAAGTTTCCTGTCTTATGCTTCTCATCTGTGTTGTATTTTTGGTGCTTTTATTTCCTGAGGTGGGAGAAGAACAAACATTTTTTATCTTGAATGCAGACTACACCCAAGCAATTATATAGAGTACACAAAGCAGAAAACGTCTTTGTTGTCAGAGTTGCAGTGCAACCGAGCGAGTGAACAATGTACTTCTCAGATTTGCTTTACGTGACGGTACATCTTTCCTGCACATAGAAATATTTTATAAAATCACTTTTGCCAGTATAGCATGAATATATTTAAAACAATGCTACTTGGCAGAAATAAAACCTATAATTGAATTTCTTTTTTGACCACAGTGACTGCTCTGGAAGTAGCGTTGAAATGATTTTTCATTTTAAGACTGAGTCAGGGTGCACCAGCTTTCCATTTTCATTTCTACCGTCCTTATCAGTGCCCTAAGAAACAAGCAACATCCACGTCATTTTTCACTCTAATGCTTTTACCTTGGACTGCAAGTCAGTGTAGTGTGGTGTTCATTCATTTCTCAGGTAACATATGTATTTTCTATCCAAAAGTGCTGTCCTCGGACTTATTGACTTTACACGGGAGAGACTCTTTAGGGGGAAAAAAAAAAGTGCTCATGTTGAAACCAGAACTCACAAGTTTGAGAGAAGTTTATTAAAACAGATAAAATGCCAAAGTGAGGGGGACCGACTACCTGATGTTATTTTGGTCAATTATTCCCGTCAGTTCGGCCAGCCTTCCTTTCTCATTCATTGCATAGAAGCTAAGCTTGAAACACCCCATTTGAAGATCCAAGGGCACAACTGTTCACAGATGCAAGCAGCTTCAGCCGAAGCCTTTCACCAGATACCACCGCAAGGATCCTGACTGTACCTACGCAATTGCCCCGTCACCTCCAACACTCGCTCGAGAAAATAACCTGGAAATGGCTCATCACTACCTTAAGCCACTTAGGGTAGGCGAAGGGGGAAAGAAAAGCCGAGGTGGAAATCTGTAGTGTTGAAATCGCCCTGTCTCAGTGCCTGGTCCGCTCCTCAGCCCGCGTGGCTCTGTGACCCGGCCGCGGTCAATGTCTCGCCGAGGCGGAGAACACCTGAGCGCCGCGCCCCGCCCGCCCCGGGGCAGCGCCGCGGGCCCGCCTCGCCTTTGGCCCCGCGGCCGCGGGCGGGTCCCGGGCCGCAGGTGGCGGCGGGCCCGGGGAGGAGCGGGCGGGCCCGGGGGCAGGTGGCGGCAGCTCCGCGGCTCGGATGGGTCCGCGCCGCCCGGCTCCGCCGCTCCCCGCCGCCGGCACCGCCGCGCCGCCGCCCGGGCCGCAGGTGAGTGAGGGCAGAGCGGGACCCGCCGCGCCCAGCGGGACCTGCCGCGCCGAGCCGCGGGCGCTGCCCTCGGGGCGGGCTGGGCGGCGGGCAGGGCTTCGCTTCCTTCCCCACGTCCCTCAGGACGCTGTTTGCGAGCGCAGCGACGGGAGACACTTAACCTGAAGCAAAAGAGAGTTTGACTTAGAGGCCACACGTACCCAGTGGGACTCCGGTTTCCATGTACACAAACGGCTCCTTCGCGACCGGCGGCTCCGGGTTTCTGGAAGGTGTGAATTGGATTGTGGTGAAGAGGCTGTGCTCCCACCTGCCCGGCTCCCTGCGGCAAGGCCGAGCTCAGCAGGCAGTATATTCTTGCCCTGAAAGGCTGTGGCTTTTTCTCTTCCATTCCTTAAATATCTCTCAAAATGCTGACTGATCCTCTACCCTGAAATTAGCCATAAATTCTGTGACTTTTCCCCTTTCTTTAATATACTTTCAGACACAAGACCTGAACTACCACAAATGCATTGTTTTCATTATTATGCTATCTTCTGTTGGCAAACTTTACTATCCGTAGTATATTTAGTGCATTGAAGTTTGATTGCCATTGATGGATCTTAGGTTACTGTAAAGGAATCTTTTCAATTCAAAACCTTTTAAGAGCACAATGAAATTTTGGTTGCGAAAATGTCGGTTTGCCAGTTTTGCCACACAATTAGCTGAAAACCACCCCATATATAAAGAGAAGTTTACAGGAACACCCCAACAATATAAACACTAATTATTTGTATATTTTCACACTAGTTAAAAATCCAATTTTTTTTTCTATAGCTATTATAATTGTATTTAAATTGGAGAAAGTACTGCATGTCTTATGCTTTATATGCGTATAAATACCAAAAGCAATGTTAGTATCAGCTAGAAGCATGCAGTGGACTGTACATTCCATCCTTTGTGAATTGTTATTCCAGGTAGATGCACAAGACCTTCCAGAATCTTTTCCTGTTCTCATCTTTTGCCATTATAACTCTTAGGTACCATAACTATCTCCCATAAATCTTTCTTTGGTTGGACTTCATGTTCTCTACTCAGTACTGTACATTCTCCTGTATTTGTCATCATTAAGAAGTTCATTTGCTTTATCACTCACAGATCATTAGCTTCCAAAAATAGCAACCATACATCAAAGCCTGTTTGATGTTGATACAAGGCTGTACATAATTTTTTGCATGAGAGTAATTTCTCAGTCTTTGTATCACCATGCCAATAAACACTGGGGCAACAGTCCTTTTCCATGCAACATGATATGGCTTGTTTTCATGTAAATTTTAAGTGGAACTGAGCTCTCATCAGCAGTTTCTACAGGGCAAAGATTAGATTACAGAAAGAAAAAAATGTAACTTTATTACTGGCACTTGCCTTGTAGCTCTTTAATCATTGAAAGAAGGCGTTTTCAGGGTAGCAGTTGGCTTATCATTAAAGGAAAGGGAGCAGGTGCATTTAGGCTTATCCAGTGACGAGGTAGGAACTGTCTGTGGTTGTTTATAGTGATGGGTAATTAGTTTGTCTATGTACAGACGTCAGAGTTTAGAGAAAATAGAAGGTCATGTTTCTTTGCTTTCACAGAGACCTTGTGAACTTAAATTCTGCTGTGTTTTTAATTAAAAAATGTTTTATTTAGCATGTGCTTCTGGGTGTATAGGGTCTAATTGTTCTCTTGGAAAAGAACAGAAAAAACAGCTAACCTGGCAGTGTTTCTTCTAAGGCAGTGGATGGGAATATGAGTGTGTGCTGCCTGCCATTGAGCTCTGCAGAAGAAAGGGTTCTGCTCCCACTCAGCCTGTGGGGGTGCTGACAGCCTCTGCTGTCCTCTGTCCTGTGCTGTCCTCTCTGTCGTGCAGGACATTAACAGCTGTACAGTACTTGGCTGGTAGCCTCAGTATTTACAGTCATGACAAAAGAGTAGCAAACAGGAGAAAAAAACCTCCTAAATAACAAGGACTGGCACTGAACTGTTACTGAGGAGCTGAAAATAGGATTGAATTTTGGAAATGTCTCCGGCAAATATTTATTGCAGTAGTAAAGCTACATTTCAGATTCACCAGCGCAAAAGTGAAATCATCAATGTCTAACAATACATAGACAAGTTCTCCCTGTTTTATGTGAAGATTTAATAAATGGTCATTGCCTCACAGCCCATCTGTTCCACTCTTGATTTCAGATGTGTGTTTTGAGCACAACCGGTCTTTGACTGGAGAGTATAACCAACACACATTGTAGATGGGGACCTGCAGAGCACTCACTGTGCAGGAAGTGAAGGTGACTCTGAAGTCTGTTGTTACTATATCACAGGTCTCTTGTCCAGTGCCCTGCACAGCTGGAATCCATCAGTTCTCTTGTTCTCTGCCCTCCTGCTTCATAACAGCAAGCTCAGGCTTTGGCCCATTAAACATAATATATACCCAGCAATGCACAGTTAATTTATCTTTTTCGTTACAGAAGCCTAGAAGTGCCTTTCTGCAATTGTAGGTGCTGATGAACTGAATATGGCTAGTTTGTTAAAGTCCAAAATACTAAAGGATGTCCACTTGAACATGGGAATCTTTGTTGGAAGGCAATAGAATGAAGGCTGTACGTGCCAGGATTGTAAGATGCTCTTAGGAAAAGCTGCTTCATTTCCAGCTGTGCACATACTGGAAGAGAGTTAATCACAAGAGAGATGGAAGTTCAGTCATAAAATGTAATTTATCCAAGGTATTAAATATACAGTCTTCTCTTGCTGCAAGATTTATGTTTCTGTATTATTAAAGGGAGAGTCTGTGCAAAAAGGTCAGGAAAGGAGACCATTTACCTACCCTTTTTATTGCAGTGAAACATCCATTCATGGATGTTGTCACTTAAGGAAGATGGCTTTATCTGTACCAAAGCATTTCTGTGCATTGCTGCTCATCCTCAAGACAGCAGAAGTCCCTCAGAATTATTCGGATTTGATAACCTTGTCTCAGTTGTTTTTGAACTGGTCAATACTTGTACAAATCCCTCCCCAGTGCCTTCTCAGTGTGGCAGTGCAGTCTCTCTCCTTCCACACTACACATGAAGAGGGTTAAGCTAAGACAGGCTCATTAAATCTGTGTCATCTCATAAAGTCATTAATGGAAAGATCTTCCTGATACAGTATTTGACTAACTTTTTGGAGGTAGATGTGGGTAAAACAGTGCAATATAACAATGCAATACAAGAGTTTGACTGCTCTGAAATACATTTAAAATGGAAAGTTTTGAAATTAAGCATAAAAGTAAACAATGCAATCAGCACAGGAATTCTGGAGTATTCTGGTTTTTGGTATCTGTAAAGACTGCACATAGTGGGTTGTAGGATTCTGAGTGTAAAATGCCTACATATGTTTACATATGTTTGATGAGTTATAACAGGATGAAACTAAAAGTTTTGGCAGCTCAAAGCCAAGCAACTGGGTCTACTGCCCCCTGGGAAAATACAGACAGCAGCCTGGGAGCAGAGTGTAAATGTATAATTAGATATTTCTGTGAAAACTATCAGCAGTGATGCTTCTAGTAAAGCTCAGACTTAAATAATTACTGTCTTAATTTCAAGGGTACCATTTTACCATTTTCATACCTCTTGCAAGTCTTGTTACTCGTGATGCCTGTACTCTATATAGCCTCAAAGGGAGTCAACAGAATTCCTCTTGGCAATAGTGGCTTATTCAGTTGTTGTAGGAATGTAACAGAAAATTGTCTTGGAACTCTTTAAACAGCAGATGGTATATCTGCTCTTGTGCAGTACTTTTGAAATGCACCTTGGGAGTAAATTTCACTATAGAAATTGGTGATGCCTTAAATTGTGACAAATTTTGAAATGATCAAGAGGAAGATTAAATCAATGGCTCAGAGAAATATGCATCATAACAAGTGTGGGACCTTTTAGCAGTTGATCACCATTGACTCTTCATGACCTTGAATGAGTCTAGTGAAGTGTAATTACTAGAGTATTTACTTAGGGAAAAAGTTTTTTTAGCCAGCCTGTTGATGTTCAAAGAGAATGAGATAAAACAGGGTGCTGATTTCTTTGGTATTTCTTCCAGTAAATTTGGTTTCTCAGAACTCTCAGGCCCGTGGTTCTCCATGCTCCCAGCTGCTTCAGAGAAGACTTTATCAGTCAGCTCCAGGAGTGTGGAAAACCTACACGTGTATAAGCTGGCACATACATTCAGTGGTGTCCTCTGCCAGCTGGTTCTCTGCTGAAGTTTGTTGCTAAGTTAAGACAGAAGTAACTTTGAAAAGAGTCCTTCAAGGAAAATGTCTTGACAGTACTTGACAGCACAACTTTTTCTTTTATGGAAACACTAAATGATTTTAGGGATAATATCTCAGTTTACAGTCTGAGAGTACACAGTTATAAAAAGTGCTTCAGCTTGCACTGAGATACAGTCTCCATAAACAGTTTGTTTGTTCAGTGGATAAAATACACAATAGCTCTAGTTTTTCCCCCTTTTTTAAACAGAAAATCAGTTTATTTTTAAAAAAAACCAATTTATTTTTAATGAAATTGTTTAATATTGCATCCCTGAAAAGCTAAAAACTCAGTGTGTTTTGGTTTGTTTGTTTTTTATCTGCAGCACATAGAAGTTCTGGGCAATGGAGACAGGTAGCATTTTTACTCCTTTGTATCCTTAAGTGCTGACTGAGATGGGAAGATTACACAGTTCTCATTCTCCATGTCATTCTTCTTTTGTCACACCAACTTTGGCAATTCTGCTATTTAAAGAGACAGAATATAACAAAGGAACTGCTTCATCTTCTAACTCATTGTCTAATA